TGTCAATTGCATGCTAATATCCCTCATTCCCCTCTAGAGCTCTTGACTTCAGTAATAAGTTCATGACCTTTTTAGCAATGGGGATTAGACATACTTGGACCCCTTCTTACAGGAGTGGGACAGTGTAAGTTCGTCATAATAGGGGTAGACTACTTCACCAAATGGGCGGAGGTAGAGCCTTTGGCCACAATTACGGAGCAGAAAGTTCAGAACTTCACGTGAAAGTCAATAATCTGTAGATTTGGTATTCCTAGGGCGATCGTCTCCAATAATGGGAACAATTCGACAACTCGAAGTTCAAAAACTTCTGCGCTTAGCTAGGGATTAAGAATTACTTTTTAGCTGCAGCCCATCCTCAATCCAATGGGTAGGCGGACGTCACCATAAGAACTATAAAAGTAGCCCTGAAAAACTAAATTGGAAGGTCAAAAGGGTAAATGGGTGGAACACCTCCCAGAAGTACTTTGGGTTTACAGAACAACTGTCAGGTCGGCGACTCAGGAAACACCATTTGCTTTGGCCTTTGGAACTGAAACAGTGGCACCAATCGAGATTGGACTTCCATCCCCCCGAACTGAGTTTGCCAACGAAGGGGACAATGATGAGTCCCTTCTACTGAGTTTGGATCTCATAGAAGAAAAGAGGGATGCAGCCTTGTATCGTATGAAAAGTTATCAGAGGAGGACAGCCAGGTACTATGATAAGAAAGTCAGACGAAAGAGTTTCAAGGTGGGTGATCTAGTGCTCAGAAAACTTCTGTTGGCAAGGAAAGACCCTACTCATGAAAAGCTGGGGGCTAATTAGAAAGATTCGTATATCATCTCAAAGATGATAAGGCCGAGAAATTACGAGTTACGAACTGAGGAGGGGAAACTCCTACCTCATTCTTGGAATACGGAGCATCTTAAGAAATTTTTTTCGTAAGCATCTTATGTAATTTGATTGCCCTCAATAAAATTGCATGTCTTTATTTTCTCTCTGTGAAATTGCCTAAAAACGAGTTCAATAGCTCACAATGAATTCTTAAGTTCATGAAAACGAGCTCAATAACTCATGATAAACTCCTGAGTTCATAGGAATGAGCTCAATAGCTTACGATGAACTCCTCAGTTCATGGAAATGAGCTCAATAGCTCACGATGAACTCCTCAGTTCATGAAAATGAGCTCAGAAGCTCACAATGAACCTTTAAGTTCATAAACACAAGCTCAATAGTTCATGATGAACTCCTCAGTTCATGGAAATGAACTCAATAGCTCATGATGAACCCTTAAATTTATAAAAATGAGTTCAATAGTTCACGATGAATTCCTTAGTTTATGGAAATGAGCTCAGAAGCTCACGATGAACCCTTAAGTTCATAAACACGAGTTCAATAGCTCACGATGAACTTCTAAGTTTATAGGAATGAGCTCAGAAGCTCACGATGAACCCTTAAGTTCATAAAAATGAGCTCAATAGCTCTCGATGAACTCCCAAGTTCGTCACAATGAGCTCGGCCACCTACGACGAAAAGTCTAAAAAAAAAAAAAAATTCTTTCAGGAGAAGTTGTAGAACCATGAGGTCTACGAGTCCAACATCCTGAAAAATTCAGACAGTTCCCAAGTCCAGAATTGAACTCGACAGCCTTATTCTCATTAAAGATAAAGCTGTGTCAGACAACCCCAAGCTTTCAAGAATAAGTTCGCTTCAAGCTCCATGTCTCTCAGCTCACCACAACCTAAGCTCGGCTGCATAAACCTACAGAATCGCCAAAGCCAGCATGAAACACAGGGAATAACTAGTAATGTGATTTACCACTTACTCTCATCCAATGAGCTCAAGTATGAAACTCTCAAAGCATTCTTGCTTCAAGAAGAGTTCAGCACTCCTTAAAGCAAGGGGGACAAGGGAAGAACGAGGATGGTGTTAGAGTAGATAGCACCAACAACGAGGATGGTGGTGATGGGGATGGTGGAGAATGTAAATTATGTAATGGTGGGGTGGCAGTTGCAGCAATGATATATGTTAGTAATGGTGATTGTGAAATAATTTTTTTTTGTTAACTTTTTGATATATTTATTTATTTTTTTGGAAGAGGGAGAGGGGAGGAGGAAAGGTGGTTTGAACCTTTGATTAAAGTAAGGAGTACCATTAGACCAAAAGTTCATTAGTATGATTGTGAAATAGTAGTAATAATGATAATAGGGATAAGGTAACGGGGGTGAGATGATAAAAAAAAAGAAGGTAAAATTAGAAAAATAATAATATTTAAACCACAATTTCTTGTATTTATAAAATAGTTTGATTCAATTCAATATGTAAAGTTTAGTGAATATAAAATGTTTTATAAATTAAGAAATTTTAACATTCAAAACTTAAAATTCGACATTCAAATATTTTTTTATTTGATTAAAAAACATCATATGCAATGATTGAAATTCAAAGCATTGATTTCATACCCCTCTCTCTCCCCTGTTTTCATTATCACAAATCAAAGTTCACAGTTTCAAATAAAGCCATAAAGAGAAACCTCATAAGTATTTGGCTTTGTTATCTTTGGAAAGTGAATTGCAATATAACACCCAATAATCAGTTACTATTGGATAGTGGCAATTATAACTTAAAAAAACAATTTAGAAATGAATAAAAGTCGAAGTATTGTTGCTCATTTCTATTCATCAAAGTCTTAAAAAAATAAAGAATGCCAGGTAAGCAAGAGAAGTTTGTGAGAATTTTTAGATTGTACATCAATTTTCTTATAGATAACAGGTATCGGGTTGTATATATTTGTCTAACTTGTACTTAATTTATTGACCTAATAATTTATAATCATTGGATTGATAATTTGAACCTACAATCAATTCAATGGTTGTGATGAATTATGTCAGTAAATTAAGTTCATATATTTATCTAGTAAAACACCTAACTTTTAAAGTTTAACACAATTTTTATTTCATACATTGTACAGATACGATAATGTATGCATGTTGAAAATTTTTTGTCTAAGTTATATATTTTGAAAAAAATTTGTCGATATTTTTAAGAAAATAATGGATAAATATTAAAAAGAAAAGAAAGAAAGAAAAATTGCCGAGATCAATTTTGTGGGTGTCAGAATTTTATGTTACATTGTGCATTTAGAGACGGGTGATGAGTAGTTAGTAAATAAAATATATGGGTTGGTCCACAAGCACATATGCATTGCTCAAAACAGCGTTACCTGGTCGGCCGCTTCTTTTAACACAGGTAAGGTAAGCATTGCTTTTAAACTGAAACAACGTCACAAAAGCAGTATGTAATCAAAGCAATCAAACATTGGAAATAGGGAAAGACTAGGGGAATGAGTTGTATTAATCTACTTTATAGATGATCGCTGAATAAACTTTATAATCAACTTTTGAAAGTACATATTCTTACTTAACATAACCAACATTCCTAACGTTAAAACAAAGTCTAATCTAGGGAATGCTTTTCATGTTTCCCTAATCTTTTTGAATGAACATGATCTCTCCCATTTTGTGGTTGAGTGTGTGTGAGAGAGATAGAGAAACTTTTTGCAATATGGGTTTTCTCATAAATTTTATTTTAGGAACAGTTTATTCACGGTCTATTATTTTTGTAAATGAATATGATCATCTACATGTCTTGCCTCTGTGTGTGTGTGAATGAGACGGGAGAGAGAGAGAGAGGCATTATGAAATTCAAATTTTTCAATATTTTTTGTTTTGGTTGAAAAATTTTATATTGGCATGTTCTATCATATGGACAAGTTGCATGTAATAGGTTATAGAATCGAGCAAACTGGTTGAAATTTTCGATTATAATTTTTTTGGTAAAATTTTTTTAGGGTGATTCAGTAGTTGAGTTTAATTTTTAGTAATCTAGAAGTTTCAAGTTAAATCCCTTTTCACACTCCCTAAAATTAGCCAATTTTATCTTTTTAGGGACATTCTCTAATCCAACTTAAACTACGATGACAAACTGTTAAACTCGAGAGAATAGTTGACACAAGTCAAACACTTTGTAGGAAAAAAAAAGATAGAAGTCAAAGAAGGGAAGAAAAAACCTATAGAAAATCCTAAATTCCAATAAATCAAATGCCAAATTGACAGTGTAATGAAAAAGATTACCGTTAATTACTATAATACCTAAGAAAGGTCCGTGATGATTTTAATAACTCAAATCCACAACACCCACATCACACTAAAATAATTTTTACGACTTTGTTAAGATCTACCCTCTAATATTTCTCGATTTCGTAATAGTCATAGCAATGTCCTTCAAATTAAAGGTAGTCAATGGACATGGCAGCATTGTGGCCAACGATTTGGATTATATTACTGGCAGTTTCAAAATATTGGCCACGCTTGCTTTGCAAAATACATAGACAGCAGATAAAGAAAATGTGAATAATAAAAAAGTTACAATCAAAGTGTTGGATTTTTGAACTAGTTTGGTCAGTAAAACAGATTAGATTGAAGAGGAAAGGCCTTGGACCTTGACTATACTTTTCTTGCCTTGGAGGATCCTGTGAGAACCTCTTTACACAAAAGCTTGGATCCTCACACCTTAACACGTGGCAAATACCCATTTTTCTAGGGGAAATATGGACTCCTTGCGAATCCTAAGGTGTACGGATACCCAATAACTTCTTGACATATCAACAACATAACTAAAAAAATAAGAAACGGTAACCAAACTTCTACATTCATTAATTCTACTTAATGCAATATAGTTAAAGTTAAAAACACAAGACAACGCTCCGCGTTTGGAGTTTAACTCCCTCCTGGTCATGCAATCAATATGTTATATTAATATTAAAATGTACAAACATAAAATAATTGAAACATTTGTGAACTAAATGACACACAACACTTTAGTTGGCAAGTGACACCACAAGTATCATATATATATATATATATATATATATAGAGAGAGAGAGAGAGAGAGAGAGAGGGGGGGGGGGTGGATTTGTGGTCTTGTCTGGGTTATTCCAAGCATTTTTTCTTTGGTTAAAGAGAGGTTAGCCTCAAGGAATAAAGTTAACAGACAGGGAAGAGCAGTGGTTAAAGTTAAAGCACAATTGCTTGCCCACATCGGCAAAGCAGCAGCAAAGAGCAGCCAACACGCTGACAACAGACCACAGCATCCAACAGGTAAGTTGAAGTCTCAAGGGAAGTACTCTCTTCAGGAGATGAGTAGTCACCGGTCACAGCCAGTGGTCAGTTGGCATACATGGTCTATGCTCCGTACTTTCTCTCTCTCTCTCTCTCACACACACACACCCATATTGCTTAGCATTAGCAGTGAGGTGAGACAAAAACACGCAAGGATCGAGAGAATTTTTTCTTAGTTCCTTTGTTTTTTTTTTTTTTTTGGTTTTAAGCCAGTTTTAGACCAATTTATGGTCATCGCAATTAATATTTTTTTTAGTTCATGTTAGAATTAAGTTATTCATGAGAAATTATTTCTTATGATTCGTTCTTCAAAAATTATTAAAATTTAAATTTAAAATATTTAAATTTATCGTTCATCTTATTATCACTTGAGTTAACCTTGAATTTTTTTCCTCTAGTTCTAAGTTATTGAAATGGATTCAATTTTAAAATTAGTAGTTGACCTAATTGTCAATGCCCTAAACTTTAAGATCACATACTCAAATCTCGTTGTCCCCCTCTCTTATATCAGCGTCTGACCAAAAAAGATAGAATCTAGTTTTTTTAAGTTTAGATTCAATTCATCAAATATGAATTAATATTTTTAATTAATAATTTAAAATAAAATAAAAATTATATTTTGTTGTTTTCTATAGATTTGAATTTAGGTATGCAAACCCAAGATCAATTTCAATTATGTTCATGTAGATAAATATATTAGTTGAGTTATTCGAATTAGTCAAATTTTGCATTGGATTTTCTATTGATAAAAGATTCGGAAATGGGTTTTCAAAAAATCCACCAAATATTCATTCAAAAAAATAGAGAGGATCTAGATTCTACCACACTCTTCAAACTAGTGATAAAACTTTTATTTATATTCCTTGCAATCTTTACTATGATCGGATGGGATCGAAGATCTTCCTACATTCCAATTAGGATATGTTCATGTACCCTTGATTCCATTACCTGTGGCCGTGGTGGTAATCAGTAGCTGAACCGTACAATTTGATTGGACGTTACAGTTTACTCCACGGTGATGTTGGTTCCCTCATATTCCACAGTTTTGATACATTTTCCTAATAATTTTTTTCTTGAATTAGTAAAGTTTAGGCCAGCTATAAATGGGTGCTTTTTGAATGATTTGTATAGCCGAGGAAAGGGGTGATTATTTGTAATATTTGAAACCATTTTGTTTGAACTTTTTGTACCATGGCTACACTCTTTTGGTTTAGTAGGAGTCTACCCTCTCTCTTTCTAGGTATTAATCCAGGAATTTAGTGTAGATGGTGACCTTTAAAAGTTATTCTAGATGAGTAAACTTATATTGTATAATATACTTTGGAAGTCTTTTTTTTTTTTTTTGAACGAAAACAATTCTTGATTTGTTTTTTATGAGTAAGGTTGTGAGTTTTGGTAGAATCAAGGATGAATTTTTGGTTTATGAACCAGTTCTTTAATTCATACATTAGTTAAATCAAAACTTATTTTTTAATAAAAATTTTAAATTCATATAAAAGACTTGAATTCAATTCGTCGAAATAATTGATGTATGTTCTACCAACTAACCACATGTTTTATCGTTCATGAAACTCGAACCTGTGGTTTTAAAAAAATAAAACCTTCAAGGTGAAAAGTTCGGTCGAAATTCCATTGAATCACGCTACTTGGTGGTGAAGTTTTAGTTGTGGAGTTCATATTGAAGTTAGGTAATTAATTATTATATTAGTCTAGTTATGTTTATTCTTAAAGGGTATAACATATACAACTAGGGATCTCATGAAAAACCATCAAAGAAGGTTTATCGGAATGATTTTTGGGTATTCTCTTTTATCATTACTCCTTCTTTAACCAATAAAAAAAAATTAAAACAAAATTTTCGCAAGAAAAAAAATATTATTGGGTGAAAAGAGTCTTTGTTATACTTTAGAAGTTTTAATAGTTAACGATGCCAGAAAAATTTAGGGGGTATTAACTTCATTTATCAACACGAAGACGACGATATGATTGTTGATGATCTGCTAAAAATCTTTTGCTCAAACCATTCCCATTTGTCCAAGCGAAAAAAATAAGGCATGACCATTAAATCCTTCTCAACGGATCAAACCCACTCACACCAACACACGCACGGCCTATTTGGTATATTTTTTGGGAGGGATTTAGATTAAATTGTTCAAACTTGAATTTGACCGAAGATGAAATTCAAAGATGAATTTGAGGGGGTTAATGCTATCCATACCCGTGTTTGGTATGCGCAGGGTATATTACTATTATGATAATATATTTGTATATATTTAATTTTTTTGTCTCTTAACCAATTTATATATATAAGATATATAAAATATATGAGGATATAAATATCATTTACATGTTAAACCCCCAAATTCACAAATGAAACTCACTCCTCTTGAATTTCATGAAACTCAATAATGTGAGTTTTATGACCGAGCCAAGTTTAAAATCATATCTTTGTCAAACACGAGTTTAAAAGATTTACTCCCGACCCATATTTCAAAAGCCCCCCAAATTCATACACCAAACAGCCCTGCAGCGTATAATGCACTGCACAGTAATGGACCCAATGGGAACCACCTAGACAGCTGGTCCCATCTTGTCCTCACTGCTCAAGACCATTTGTTTCATGAAGCCTAACTGCTATGTCCCACACAAACTTTTTCCGTCAAGTAACGACGAAATATGACGGCGACACGTCCCTCTATAAATATACCCACGCCGAGATGTTCTCCTTTCTTGTCTTACATTGCTACCTAGAAAGAGAGAGGGAGAGGGGGTAACGTAAAACCTGGAGGTGAGAATCCGGAACTTTGCGTTCTGAGAACCTCCGAAGAATCAAAACGCCGAAATATCGCCGGAGTCTCGCCTGTATTTTCACCGGCGAATAATCTCTTCGGAAGATTTATGTTATCTGTCATTGAAATGCAAGGGATTCTGCCTATTCATTGAGTGATTGAGGTTTTTTGGTACTGTGTTTGAATATTCAAAAGAGCAAAAAGGTCATGATATTGATATCTCAGTCGATATTTAGGGAGGATTTTGATGATATTGAAAGGCTTTGAAGTTGGTTGAGAGTCGATATCTATAAGGCAAGAGAGATTTCTCTCTCTTTCTCTACTCTGTTTCAAAAGTTTTGAAGATCTCCATGGTTTGAAATCAGTTGCAAATTTGATGTTCACTGATGAACCGTATGTACAATTTCCCTCCATAAAGTAGTACTGATTGGTTGATTTGAATTTTAACTACTAACATTTTTTCATCATTGTTTTCTTGAAAAATAGATTGAGATTGACAGTCGTTGATATTGTTTTGTTTTTGTCATTTCAGTTGGTTTTAGAGACCGAGATTTTGAAGCATAAGAAACTGATATTTGGTCTTTTGAGTGCCTTGTCGAGAGAGAGAAGAGGCGGTGGCGTTTGGCTAAGGTGAGTCGATCGCTTTCGAATAATAACACAGTTACCCAGTTCTTATTTCTCTTTCCGTTCGTCAAATTCATTTGAATTTTTTATAACTAATTTTTTGATATTATATTTTTTTTTCATTCAATTATAAAATGATACATAATTTTTTTATTTTAATAATTAATTATTTCAAATAACTCAAATTAACAATACCAATAAATTATTATCTATTTAATATTACAACTAGCAAGTTAAATTTTTAACTTATAAAAATAAAATAATAATTAAGATTTTATTATTTATTTTGATATAATAATATAAAATTTATATCAATATTTTTTTCTCTTAAACATATCATTTTTTCTACACGACATTCACCGTCAAATAATTCTTCCAACACATTTTGTCAAATAACGTCAACAACCCACACCCAACTCTCTCTTCTCTCTCCCCCTATCCTTATTTCTTTTTTATTTCCTCTCTATTTATTTTAATATTAAATTTAAATTATATAATTAATTTTTAATTTTTAATATTAAAAAATTTATTCGAACACTAGGTTATTGTTGATTTTTTTTGATAGAGTAATGCTTTTTTGATATACTAAAAAAAAAAAAAAAGTTTTTGGTTTCATAATGTTATCCCTAAACTCGACACTCTCATTGATTCCGAAAGGGCTTTGTTCATTGTTTCAAATTGCTTCATCTAACACAGCACTGCAAAAAAGCGTAAAGATTCTTTTGAGTACTCTGCTGTCCAGTGAGTTGCTCTGGAGTTTCTTGAAGAATGATGTGACACGAACAAAAGAAAAGGCAGCAATTATTATAATGAATCCATCGGAAACTCCGGTTCAGCTCTCAAACAATTTCTCTTCTTTTATTCTCTGTGCATTAATTAAAGCACGCCATCCCAAACCACTTTGCATTCAATTATCGTCATCCTCGTTTTTAAATTTTTATTATTTTAATTTATGAATTATTTATAATTAAAAATTTTATTATTTTTACGAATATTTTTATCACATTTGTGGTAATTATTTTTATAATTTTTTATTAATACAAAAAAAATTACCACACTTGTGGGTGTGTTTATTATATTTGTGAGTATTTTTATTATATTTAAAAATATTTTATCACTGTTGTGATAATTATTTTTATCATCTTTGGAGTACTACAATTGTGATAAAATGATCTATAAATATAATAAAAATAATTAAAAATATGATAAATGGAAATATAATACTCATTTTTTTGGGTACCGGTAGTCAACTTCTTTTGCAGCAATCCTAGTTTATCTGAGGTTGAGAGCTTTCTTTCTCCCACCTCGTTTTTTTCCTTTGCTATCAATTCCATTTGGTTGCCTTCATGTTCTAATCATATTAGCTCAAAAACTACGTGAAACGAGATTGACAAGAAGTTGAAAAAACATGTTTAAACATATATTACTTTGAGCAACGAAGAATGACCTAATAGTTAGTGTCTTTTTCACTTTGCCTTTCCACTCTCACCAAATCCCCTAATCCTGTATGAATAGTGACCAAAAAAATATACTAATTTGTAAAACACGAATTATGCCTGTCTCATATTAGATGTGTTATCGTTGAACAATGTTATTGTGATCTAGTTTATTGACTTAATTTACTGATCTAA